TTTCTTCTTTACGTCGTTTATTTAGAGGAAATGTCGATTTTCCCACTTTACGTCGTGTATTTACGGGATATTTGTCGACAATTATACAAAACGTACGGGTCTTGAATATGCCGCCTCGCGTTTTTATGTTTTCATAAACATTGACAAAATCACTCGCCGCTTAATAAAGAAACAACACTATTGTCATCGATGACACCATTTTCGTTACGTGAACGATGGACGTTATCAGATGTATTGTAGCTACACTCAATTCAAATCTAAAAATGTCTTCATTTGAACGGCTGCTATTAAACGCAACTCGATTTCGTAATCGTGGCATTCTACTTAGCGATCAATCAGAATGAAGTGGGAATTGTTATATCCGCCATCTTTGTAAGCAATGGCGGCCGGTTTTCTTCGTTCTATGCTTTTTTAGCCATTTCTTTTGTGTAGCTACATAATTTAATGTCTCAGTGTGCTAAAACGCAGAATTCAATGTAATATCCTAAGTGTCGCGGGTTTTTGCTGCTGCTGCTGCTGCTACTAAAGTCTATCAATTTCTTCAAGCAAGCTCGCCAGTTTTATGTTCTAAAAGGACAGTCGGTTTCATTTTGACTTGAATTTAGATATCCAAAGCCGAAGTTAGTTTGTTTTAGCTAAAATAATTGCTGCTGCCGCCAGTGACTAACTGTGCGCATATCCGAATATATGTTCGTTCCCAACTGTCCTTTATGGTGTTATCGGCGAAATGAAGGAAAACGATCCCGGTTTTTAATTTTCTTCAGTATTATGGACAACACTATCCCATCAACGAGTCAAACTAATACTGAGTGCCCAGCATTAGGGGATATCAGTATTGTTTTCGAAAGGACCCAGACTTCCGACAACCATAGACAAAGTGACAGATGCTACCAACCTATTGCAGAGGGGTTGTACTCATTACGTCGTGCGTGGAAGCAAGCTTAACATTGAGAAGCCGGAAATCAAACAGTGTGTAGTGTATGTTTGTTGTTTTGGCCATAAAAGGAAGCCGGAGGATCATGGTCAGTGAGTAAAAAGGTGATTAACTGTTATTAAGCCCACTTTTTTATAGAACATATTTCACCACGTGCAAGTCTGTGTTTTTTACGGTATGAAACCAACCGGTACCTAATATGTTTAGCCTTGCGATGAAAAGTATCTGCAAATTTTCACCTTAATATTCGAATTATTTTTGGACATGTCTTCCAGTTTGAGAGCTTCGTATGTCCTGGAGAACTCGATTCCTACATTATTCGTGGTTCCAGTATAACTTTCTCACGCAGTAAGGTCAAAGTAGACACTGGCCTTTCTAAATAAGCCTGTTAAGCTAGTATCCTTATTCTCCATTTCAGTTAAACGATGAAGACGTGTCTTACCATGTGCAACTGCTGTATACCGCCATTTTACTCCCATTTTAACTGTTATATCTTACTGTTGAAAATAAAATTGTTATATGCAGCAAATACAGACTTATTTGTTTTGATGGAGATAGGGGGGTTCATGGGATGTTTAGCAGGACTGTAGTGATGTCCTCACTAAAAGGCCAAGCGAGTGCGTAGACCAATGTTTGGTACCATACAGGGTGCCTTTGAGTTACTAGTGTTCCATTAGTGTGGGTACAGGTATTGCTTGCTTATCATATGCCATTGGTATAAGAAACTGAGACTAGACGCAAGGACGGTTAGGATGTGTAACGCGTATCAACCAACTCCCGTGACAACTCATGGCGGCTAGAATAAGTTGTGAGAGGACCCGAGTCTGTAGGTTCCCCAAGAAATTGACGAAGATATGTGCTACATCACTTAAACTTACTACAGATGAACTAGGTGCTGAGAGGCTCGTGTTTCACAAGTTTCTTACAACGATTAACTAGATAAAACAAAATAGCATTAGATTTAGAAGTTTATTCAGAAACTTTCATTAACGATAGAATATCAAACAAACGTTTACACCAGGTTCACTTTTAAAAGTGGCATTGGTAATGTTAAGCTCCAAACGAAAAAGTAAAAAAAATACTGGAAGTGGTTGTGAAACTAAAGTGGACGTCCAGCATCCTTTTTATAATCTGCTGTTAGTTGGGTCTCCCGTAAACAGTTTCATAGGGTCATAGTGCTAAGGTCGAAACCGTTTTTAGGATCTGTGAAGGCTCACTCTTGCATTATAAATGAAAAAATAGTAATGAATCTAGTCACAAATGTGGAATAGATAAACAAACAAATCACATATTATTTGGCAAAGAATTTATGCAGCTGTGATCTACATCGAGTTCATGAATATTAGATCAGGTCATCAACTATGACTTGTACAAAGCATAAACATGGGCTTAGTACCGTATCGCACAGCTTTGATTATTTTGTTCCCATTTAAGTATTCCTATACATCTGCGTCTGGTTTAACAGGAAGACACACAGGCAGAGTTAGTGTCTGATAAGCTAAAAGTCCCAGTTGTCAAAAAGATTCTTAACATTTGTCTACAGCCGGCTGCATTTAATTGAGACACAGAACACTCATCTTCTAAGACTCTATACTGCTCTTTTACAGGCAACTAATATTTCAGACGCTTACCTATCCTGCTACCGATGTTATTGCTAGGGAAATCGTTTAATGACAGTGATCTTGGGATATGATCAGTGCTAGATGTACAGTCTAGAAATAAACACCAAACATACTTATCGCTATCTTATAATGTATGACATCATCAAAGGCACTTTTTTCCTATTTTTTAATCAGACTGGTTCGAATCATCATATTAAATAAAAACAGGCAGCTCCACTTACTAAAGTGATCTGTCTCGTTACAGGCTTCAAGCACCATATTTAAATATAATATAATTCTATAGACTAAACTGAATTATACGACAACCGAGAATACTAAACTAAGCATGTGTCATAATTATCATTTCATTTGCACAGACATGTTACTCAAAGTAGTTAAATGTACATAATTCAGCCGATGAACCCAAAAGACAAACTATAGGCTAGTTAAACTTACCTATAGCAGAACACAAAGGATATTGCTATATGCTGACGATATCAAGATATGGAGAACGACACGATGTAAGGGTGATGGCTTAGAACTCCAAAATGACCCGAAGAAATTATCTGAATGGTCTCATACATGGCAGCTGCCGATAAATACTTCCAAGTGTGTTGTGATGCATATCGGTCATCAAGGTACAGATACATATACGATGAATAACATTGAGCTACCTGTTGTCCAGACACATAATGACTTAGGAGTCATCGTCAGCCAAGATCTAAAGACTATTGCACACTGCAATGCAATAGCCGCCAAAGCTTTTAGAACTTTATGGTCAATACGTAGGGCTTTTACTCATGTCGACGCTCAAACGTTTTTGACTTTGTATGCAGTGTTCGTACGTCCTAAACTTGAGTACTGCTTACAAGCGGCTAGCCCCTGCTTAAAAAATGACAGTAAGCTTGTAGCGTGGTGTCGAATCGCGCTTGACTATGAACATCACTACAAGAAGACTATGTGCCAATCAACCAATAAGATCCCCGTAGGTCAATATCAGAAGGCAGATGATGGCTGTAGTCAAGATGTATTTGTTAGCGATCTCGTGGTATCGAGGAATACCGAGATCGTGCCAAAGGAGTACAAGCGTGGTTATTAAGCGTAACCGGATTCGTACAAGTTCAAAGTCAACGGGAGAGTAAGTGTAATGGCTGTCATTAGCATAGTTAAACAAACAAACACAGTAAGACAATCACTGGTACAATTGGTTATAATAATAATTGTTTACATTGAACCAATCGCGTTCTGTTGACAAAAGTAGGTCACTACACGAGCCTCCCGTTAGAAAGGGTTTACACTTTCGATAGGTAGCGGTTTTTTTCGTGGGACTGATCGGCAAACGTACGGTTGTAGGACAGAAGAATTGGCGAAACAGGAAGCGATGATTGATCCGCGAGTTGCTAACGAAAGTCTTTTGCATGGAACGGTACCGGGAGAAGCGTGCTGTATTTGTTGCTCGAGTTAGCATACCACACCAGAGTGGTTTGTATCCAGGATCTGAAGATTGCGTTCGTAGGGATGCGGACTAGGGAACGTTGCAGATGTAGGACGAAACCACGTTGAGCCAAGAAACTGGAGACGACCAAGCGCGAAACCAGGCGTATGCCAGGCGGAATCGAAACCAGATTATCGACTGAGTGCGTTGACAAGAGCATGGGTGATCAGGCCAGCTTTCGCCAAAGTTGACTGAAGTCAACGTTACCAAACGGGCGATGCTCGGAGGCGTGGGCTGAGGATACAAAAGAAATCAAAAAAAGAAAAGTGTAGCATGCATGTAGTATAGGATTAGTCCTACACCGCTATAATAATAATTGTTTTTATTGAACCAATCGCGTTCTGTTGAAAAAAGTAGGTCTTTTCAAGCTTTTGGAAAAGGTCCGGAGAACAGCAACTAAGCTGATTCCCGGAATAGCGAAGCTTATGTATGATGCTCGACTGGCCAAGCTAAACCTATTCCCTTTGTCATATCGTAGAACTAGAGGCGACTTGATTACAGTTTTCAAATTGCTTAGTGATAAATTTGCACCTGATATGCCCTTATTTTTCCCGTCTTCCAAAACGGAGAATTTACGAGGACACTCCAAAAAAGTTCACAGGCCCAGAACAAATTACTTGTCAGCTGATTATCGACTTTCCCACCGGATCATCAACGAGTGGGATTCATTACCTCAACACGTGGTTGAAGCTCCATCCGTAGATTCTTTCAAAAGAAAGTTGGATCAACTGAGAGAACACAATTGCCAGGACTAACACAGGCCATCAAGCCTCCTATCCTTTCCAAAATGAAGACCGAAACTTAAGATAACAGTCAGTTCTTCATAAAAACATAGTTTACAGCATAACAAACATTTCTTCAGTAACATTATACACTGATTGTCTATTTGGAAACAATCAACGATGTAATTAAACTTACTTGGGATAAATCCATCTGATTTGACCGCTACTGCCAAACCTTACAAATTGTCGAGGTGACGCATCAATCATTTTACGACGTTTGACCTTCAAGTGCTTGCAACCTTCGTCAGTGGACGATACCTCTGAAGCGTTGCCTGAAGTTTTGCCATACATGTGTGGTTTATTTTATTCCTCGCTTTTCAAGTACATACACTTATTATTGACTTCATACTTTATGTTTGTTTATAGTTTTCCGATTCTCATTTGTCTTTTATCTCGCATTATTGCTAGTTGGTATACATCCGACCACCTAACTATGAGGAAATTTTGTGAGAGTTTCACAAAATTCTAAGGAAATCATAAGGAAATGCGAATATAAATTCAAGAAGTTTTACTGGTCTGTTTGTTTAAGCCCAGGTATTAGTTAAGAATTGGATGTTTACTAATATATCCCCATGCACTCCCACACACTAGGGAAAAGCAAGCAACACCCGCTGATTAAGGAGAAACTAGAAAAGAAAAAACTACGACTTTCGCAAAAACAAGCTTGTTAGTGCGTTTTCCATGTTAAAGTCGATATTACCTTATCGGCGTTTTACAAACTGGAAAAAGTCTCCAGCGTAATATAAAAAGTTTCCATGCTAATAGTAGACAAAAAATGCCTAGCATGGGATATGTACCAGTTGATTTTTCAGTCGTCAACATTTTGACCGGGAACTTTTAACATAGCTAAGCATGTATCCATTGTGTACATGTTCACAAAACAGTTCTTCCACCTAAATGTATGTGTATTTATTTATATTTTAATACACAATCTCATTCATAACACATCAGTTTTTTTTTTTAACTCTGGCAGTGTTCATATATATAACGTTTGTTAATACAAGTGTTGACAAAATAGAACTGCTTTAATAACGTGAATAAACTGTGATTGCGTGTTGCTGGCTTCAGATTTGGTCATGGCTGCATCGACCACATATTCACCATTCATCAGGTTTTAGAACACAGACATGCTTATCGGCGTCCGACAATGATAGTTTTTCTTGACTTAAAAGCAGCATTTGACTATGTAGACCGATAGGTTCTGTGGCATTGTCTGTCATTAAAAGATGTACCTCAGAAGTACATAAAGATTGTGAAGGCTTTTTGCTGGAACATTACCAGTCGAGTCAGAGTTTATGGCGAATTGTCATCTGATTTCACAACATCAGGTGTGGTGTCTGACAAGGCTGTCCACTATCTCCATTTCTGTCTAATTTCATCATAGACCTACTGCTGGAAATATCGTTCTCGTCGACTGAATTTTCAGGAACTTATCTTTTGACAGTAGGTTCACTTGTTGACTTAGAATACCCAGATCACATAGTCCTGTTTGATGAAGGCTCTGATAAAATGCAGTCTTTTGATAGCAGTGAGCAACAATGCCAGGATGTTTGGGATGCGTTTTTTCTCCAGTAAATGCAAGTTGTTGCTTCAGGGCTGGCCTGCGTCAACACCTAAGCTGAGGAGTGAAGTAGTCGAACACGTCGACAACTTCATTTATTTTGTAAGTCTGATCAGCCCTAATGGGTTGGTGTCTGACGAAATTTTTGCACGGATTCAGAAAGCGAGATAATTCGTCTATAAATTAAGGGATGAGTATACTGCACGGCAGTTCGTTCTATTCCATTTTATGACTGCGAAACATGGCCATTAAAAGTAGAAGATACTCGTAAGTTACTAGTATATCTTAGAAATATTGCTCGTATCTGCTGGTGATATGACTTGTGGCCTTGTGTCTTATTAATATATAACGTTATGATGCCACCTATTAGAGAACAGTGCTTTATCGGCCTGATCAATGACGCATAAAACCTGTACGAGTAGTCTAGATTCTTTATCAATCCTTTTTCCTGCCTAGCCCTACCTGTTAAGTCCAGAACACTAATCTCAACCTCCGCGATATGAATTATGTGTTCAAACACACTGAGTTTATATACAAACCAAATAGACCACATCGTACCATAAAATAGGAAACAACATTTGTACAAGATTATGCCAAATGTGGCTGTGAATGTGGGAGATAGTAATTGATAGACTGGGCATAACTCAAGAATGGTAAATCGTATAATAATAGTTCATAGGTCAAAATATAGCTCGTAATAAGACGGACACGAATATGAATAGTTTAGTTACTTAACAATTATACAATGAAAATATATGTATAGATTTAGTCCAGAAATGGATTCCAACAGTTACCAATCATTATTCTCGTCGGGATATAACAACTGGGATCGCCGGGTAAGTAGTAGTGAAGTCAGACGCAGGGTATTAGGGAATGGTGGTAAATCATTTGGATCTTCACCAACTAAGATGGTTGGGCCACGTGTCGCTTGTGCCTGAACACCGATTACCACGACGCGCAATGCTAACCGGTGTTGGAGTTGGTTGGAAAAAAGTTAGGGACAGCCAAACGAAAACGAGGCATCACTCCTTGAAGTTATTAACTTCTGGTCTGAGCCATATTGGTAGATGCAGACTACTTGATTGGGGTCCGCGCGACTATCGTAATCAGTGCTCGGGAACTCTCGGGGTGACGGTTCAGAATCGATCAAAATAGTGTGGATGTGTGCACTCATTATCTTCCCTTAAACTGTAAGGTTAAAATTGCTTTATATCTTTCTACGAACTAATCGTTTCTCCCTGTATCATATCCCCACATGCACGTTATAAAAATATATTGCTTATTATTATTTATTTGAATAAATAAATATAGTATATTACTACCAGTAAAGTAATAACTATTAATTCGGTGCTCATCTTGTCGTGCTAATAAGGTGTGGCAACTGGGACCGATGCATATATTTGCCTGGTCCTACCTTGTAGCTGATTGATTGCATGTCCACCCTACATCTCCTAAGAATCATTTACGTAGATATATTTCGAACGTTTATGCAAGCGACGTTAATCACGGCTTTATAAAGGTTTGGAACAGCAGACAAGTTGATGTTGAAAACAGTCACGCGACCATATTCGAATTTCACTAAGTTTGCGAAATAAGCTGCAAATAAAAAAGACGCTTATATACAAAGAAAGGTCTGGGTGCTTAGCAATAAAGTTCATACGTTTTTTCCTAAACTGTGGGAAAGCTTGGAAGTTTTATCAGTGAACTTCAATGAATTTCCTCAAAGATTTTGGTAATTTTGGGGAATACCTAAATTTCTTCTAAATGTTTTGCGAATTTCCCCGAAATTATACGAAGTTCTGGGGGAGGGGATAACCACATCCCAATGGAAATTTGAGGGTTTTTATTGTTTTTTCATTTGAATACAAACAATGGTTTTAGGGGGAACCAAATACATACACGCCACACAACAATAATGAGGCTGTGAACAGATAATTTAAAGCGCTTATAATAAGTGAACAACGTAAAACAGAAATTATAGTATGAGATTGGAATAATAATGTAGAAACAGTTCAGTTAGCAAAAGTATAACTGGAAAGAATTTTTTTTTCAATTACAGAAGTTACGTTCATTGTGATGAAGAAAGAGCGGGATCGCCAATGACTTCTGTTTTGAGCCACGTCTAACAACATACCTAGCCAATGTTGCCCCATCTCTAGGACTTCAACTAATAAGTCGTGAAGGGCCAGTAGAAGCCAGTCCTGTGCAACTTTCTTTCATGCCACGACACCACGTCACACTGATCACCTCTCTGCTTTTTCCTACCGGTCTCAGCGTCGTCAAGAAATGCACGACGTCAAATTCTCTGGGACGACATTCGTACAACATTTCCAAGCCACTGAAGTTGGTGTTTCGAGATAGTGACACTAAATTATCGAACACGACGACGAACCTCTGCATTGCTAATATGATGTTGCCAATGGATACCAGCAATCCTTCGAGGACAACGATCGTACACAGAGTTGTCTGACATCCTCAACTTGGAGAGGCTAGGTTTCACAAGCATAGAGCAAAACTGCTCTCACTGATGCGTTGATCTGACCTTTCATAGCCAGACTAATCACGAAGGCGCCAGGGGTGACCTTGACTGGTACAAGCTGCCCTGGCTTTCACTACACATGCCAAAATTTTCTTTTGGAGCCTCTATAAATTTTTCCCAAAGTTGGTAAAATTTCCCCCAAGATCGGGAAATCGTAAAGTTTCTGCTCAATGTGATAACTAACGCTATTTCCATTTCTTTTTCAGATTTTTCTGTTGGGACTGAATTTTAATATTTCATATACAACGGATCATTATTGATTAGACTTTAGAGTATGTCAAACTATCCACCTGTTTTGATTGGTTTAAATTCATACGGGGGATCAGAATTCTATGAGAACGTCTATTCTCTGATCCGATTTCTTTATGAAACGCATCAGGAATTCGATCTTGAAGGTTCTTCAACAGAAACCTACATATTACCCAAAGACGAATTGACGTTAATTCAACTTGTCTTACGTGATTTTGACAAAGATAAAGTTTGTACATTTTGCCTTAAACCTTTATACCTACAGTACCCTATAAAACAAGAAGACATATCGCGTTTTTGGTATAGAATGTGTCGTTATCGTCTTTTTCGGCATCGAATTCTTGTAGACGACAATGAATACGTGTTTTGTACTAAGGTTGACGAATACCTGAAGGCTAATAATTTAGTTGACCGGATTTTAATTGCTCGTCGCTTATTGGAGGAATTCTTTGAAAATTCTTCACTAAAAACTAAGTTATTCTACTATCGTTATATTGTTCATTCGAACAAATTAGATTGGTTTGAGGTAATCAATTGGTTGATGATTGCTATAAAGTTCAATCAAACAGCATCTAATGGTTGAGATTATGGCAGATTTTAATGTACCACACCTATGCTTTCCATGTCTTTCAACTACTGAAAACAAATTCTATTGTCTTCGGCAATGTGAGATTAATTTCAACACTCGATACAAGGCGAGTCATCTTTTTATACTTATTTTACTTATCTAGGAGTGTCCCTTACTTGAAACTCTTCTCAGTTATCTTGGACTTGCAGTTAATATTAAAGATTCCTTACGTTTTTTAAGAATATTTAACTTGCCTTACCGAGCATTGGATGAACAAACTTTTACATCGCTTCGAAAATTAGCTCGACGAGATAATCTATCAGTTACTCAAGTTAGTCCATTTACACCTGTTATTAACTAAAATTGTATTTTTTGGAATTTATCGCAATTAGTGAAAATAAACGTTTTTGAATAATAATCTAATGTTATATTTTTGTAATTTTTTTAGTTTAACGTTTCAGGTTGTATGAGTAGAATCCAGTCAGTCGTCGACATTGTGGGATTTGCACAGATGTATCCGTTCTATGCTTAGGCAGTTTCATAATCGCTTTTCAGCAACTTGATTTGGTTTAACAAACTGTCTTCTATTTCATTATTATATTTTACATTAGATTACTCCAACAACTAATATTCTCGTTGTTTTAGGTAGCCATCTCATTTGTTGGTCGCATGAAGTTAGGGAACTCCAGCTACGCTCCTGAATATGATCATCCACTTCGTCGGTGGTCTTCAGGCTTGATTCATTTGGTGGATTCCATCAATAGGTGTCACGACGTATTATCTGGGGCTGCTGATGATAGTTTGTTGGCATCGGGCACTGCTAATTCACCTATGACCATTGATGACGCTGTGAAATCTGTATGTCAATGTATTCGTGTTTCATGTAGTATTTTGCGGAAACCTGGTGTAGTTGATGAAAGTATGCATGGAAAAATGAAGACAACTATTAACTTTTCAGAAATCCCTAATGTCTGCGATAGTCTTGTCAAACGTATTTATCAGTTGTCTTCTACAAATATTATTTCAAGCATGTGCTGTGATACACCGGATAGAGTGAGTTTCGATCTTGAGTTTTTTTGTGGATTTTTTAAAATTTGTACTATTTCATTGGATGTGTTTTCGAGTTATGTTCATTCATATGTTGATATTTCAAATAATGATTCTAAATAAGTGTACAAAAATACAAGGGAGCTGGAATTAATATACGTAAATGATTTTGATATCCGATTTCTACTTAGTCAAATCGGATCGCTTCAATGATTTTCCTTTTCGTGGTTAGGGTTGGTGTCTAAATTAATCATTTGTTTGATGTTACAAAAGACAAATTAGTCTTTTTGATTTGAAGAAACTATACCCGAAGGAGATTTAACTATGTATTGAACCATAGATTTCCTGCAGTCTTAGATTTCGTATAGACTGTTCGTCAGGCAATGCTATATATATGGCTTCAATTAATTTTGGGCTTGTACAAATCCAGTCTTCAATGCTGTGTTAATTCAAGAATTTAGCTGACACTACCTCGTGTATAATCTAGATTCGAATTACTGTCTAATTCAAATCATCATTACCTGGAAGCAATAATAACCCAGGCGAGTTTTACTCTTTTTCCCTTTCCTGGTTCATTTACTATGATTTAAGTACTTCTTAACTTACATAGATTTTTTCTGTTAGACCGGTTGTATATATTTCATACGAGTCACTCTCAGGACTTAGTAGAAATATTTAATTCTTTTATACTATTACGTTCTACTTAGAAAACATGTGCTGTTTAAAGATATTTATTATTTTTAGTTGCCTTTGCCACATAAATATCACTAGGTTAACTACAGCAACGTATTATGTAAGGTTCATAACTCGTCATATTCCCAACTGAAATTCCATAAGTCATCTCAACTTAAAAGATATTTTTCATTTTGGTCTTGTTTATTATTTTTAATTTGCCTTATACCTCAACAGCCTAAAAATCATCTCAATCGCCTTTAATCTTTATCAATAAACCCATCATAGTCGTTGTTGCAATATGTATATGGGTTTATGAATTGGTTTATCATATTAGCAGCCTAAAACGCGAATAAAGTCGTCGAATTTAAGTACTATCATAACGCACTAGCACAATAACTAAACTATCAGGTAGTTGCTGGCCAAACAAATATTTAGAATTAAAACTCCTGAGCCTACTACTAAAATTAACACTATGTAGACGAATGTTTTTAAATTGCGATTTATAATATATTTAGGCAGCTCGGATTCTTTAACGCTACAAATTTTACTATTTCAGAAGCACATAAAACAATACCTATTTTCAACTGGCTACTCCTCAATCAACACTATAACTAGTTAAACATAATGGTTTCAGGTTATCGTCATAAAGCATTATTATTATTATTATTATTATTATTATTATTATTATTATTATTATTATTATTATTGTTAGTTGCTCTATTCAATATTATATTTTTGGTACAATATAGAATTCTCAGCACAAAGTATTTCAACAAATTTCCCTTTCTTATTTCTTGATCAGTTCTTGCGATAAATATTGAGTGGTTGCCAGTTAGATGTTAACAGTTCAGGAATCGACATCTGATAAATATATATCCTGTTCGATGCATACTGTCAGTAACCATGATGTCTCTGATTGAGCTCTTTTTGTAACTTGTACAGCGAAATGTCGTAAATTTTTCACAAACGCACCCGAATAGGTTATGAGACTAATAGGCATAATGATGTGTTTAAAACAAACAAGAAAACTTGTTGAAATATCCAGATGGTAGGAACAGGTAACCCAGATATTCAAGCAGGCCACCTATCATTGTCATGATTTGACAATCACGTAATATGATTGATAAAATTTAATGAAACTATTAAAAAAATCGGTCACCAAATTGACTTATAATTATCATTAAATAATGTCGTTTTTCTTTTATCTTCATTCACTACGTATGATTACAGTATGTTTCTCTATCAGTTGCTCATTCAGTAAATTTCTCAAATCCTTGTCAATGCCCTGGTACGGCCGAGAGTGGGGAGAGTCCGCTCTCCCTCTCGAAATGCTCTCACATGGCCACGCGTATATAGCCTCTGCCAGGGAAGTCCTACTCACTGCCTTCTCGTGGCGGGGGTGTTGTTTACGAAAATGAGAGGACGAATAGCGAATTTCCGGCGCTTTAACCGGATCCCAAATCAATGGTGCACATGGGCTGGCTCCAGTATCCTGAAGGAACAAATGGCGTATGAACCAATCGTTGGTCACCGGCTACCATGGGACTGCATCTCCTTACGATGCTCCACTGCCTTGTGGGTCAGACATTCAGGTCGAAGGCTCGGGGTGTGGCCCCCTAAGAAAACAAGCTGCTTCGGTTTGGACACCCGGGCAGTATCACAGCCCACACACAAATGTGGTGAAATGTTGATATTTATGGAAGATACTTTTCTTGCTTTAATTAACAATCAAACGATTCACATTATCGTTATTATTATTATTATTATTATTATTATTATTATTATTATTATTATTATTATTTACCACGTCATTTATTCACTCTCTCTTATTTCCACTCTGTCTATCCTTACTTTTCGACTTATACAGTAGCTCGCCTATGATGGAAATTCTGTTCTATCTAAACGTTCTCGAATCACTGCCTGGTTGAAAATTGTATGTTACCACCGAATACGAGTGCTGAAGCAGTTTTTCTGAAACCACGTGCACCATTCAAACTGGCTGCCTTCAACGTTCGCACACTTATGCAGGTCGGACAACAGATAGGGCTGGCTGTGTCTTTGGAAAGTTTTAATATTGACGTTTCTTGTCTGTCCGAGACCCGTATTCAAGACTCTGGTGAAGTACTACAAATTCGCTCTCCATCTGTCACTTCAAAAAGCTTGTTTTATGTGCGTTTATCTGGGGACCCTGTGGCATCTTCGTCTGGTCTTGCTGGCGTTGGTGTCGCACTAAGCGCTAGAGCTGAGACAGCACTAATCGATTGTATCCCCATTAACAGTCGGTTATGTGCTGTTAGATTAGAAAGTCCCATCAAAGTGAGAAGAAATCGATGTATTTTCGTCATATCCGCCTATGCCCCGACAGAGTGCAGCACGGATGCTATCAATGATGAGTTTTACCATCAACTAACAGTTCTTCTACAGAAAGTGCGTTAGACAGATATTGTAGTACAAGCTGGAGACTTGAATGCTCAGGTCGGGCGTCTAGGCACAGAAGAGAGTCGTTTAGGTGGCCAATGGGGACTTGTTTGTCGCAGGACAGATAATGGGGACCATCTACTGCAGCTGTGCACAGACCACAACCTATTTTTGGCTAGCACTAACTTTTAGCATAGTCATTGCCTATGTGTCACATGGCGTCCTCCCTCTGCATCTCAAGCCTGGACTCAGATTGATCACATCACGATCAGCTACCGCTGGAGTGGTTGTGTACAAGACTGCCACTCCTTTTGGAGTACCTATCTGGACTCTGATCATGCCCTGGTCTGCTCCAATCTCACCTTACTTTTCAGTGGCCAACGAAGTGACCGCCAACAAAGCATTGATATCAGCAAGTTGATTGCAACTTCTGTTGCTAGTAAGTATCGAACCGAGCTAGGTTCTAGGCTAGCTACCATTCCACCGAAAAGTATAGATGAGCATTGGTTGCAATTGCATGACGCCATGAAAATGGCTGGTCAAGTCAGTTGTGGATTCGCGAAACGTCCCGCTTATAAGCACTGGGTTTCTTCTGGTTCCTTACAACTCATTGAAGCCCGTCGGTCTACTCCGGGTGACCGTGAGTTTGACGACAAACGAAGGATTTTACGTACTGAAATTGGGCACAGCTTGCGTAAGGACCGAGAAGCCTGGTGGTCGGAGCGTGCTAATGAGCTGGAAGCAGCAGCTGCATCTGCTAATTACCGGAAAATCTTCCAACTCATCCGGGCCACTGGCAGAAAGAAGTCTGGTATGAGCGAGACAATCTGCGAGGATGACGGGATGTCAATAACTAAAATCCATCAACGTCTTGGACTATGGGCAGAATTTTTCGAAGGGCAGTTCAACTGGCCTGCTGCTCCGGCAACATCGGTCAGACTGTCCTGCCCTTCATGGCCGGTGACGACTGATCCACCAAATGAGGCGGAAGTCCGCAAGGAACTCCAACTCTTGAAACGCTACGAATCACCGGGCCCAGATGACTTACCTCCGGCTCTTTTTAAAGATGTTGGTGACATTCTGGCTAAGGAGCTGACGACGTTGTTTACAAAGGTCTGGGAACTAGAGAGTGTACCAACGTCATGGAATGAGTCGATAGTTGACCCTATCTTTAAAAAGGGTTCACGTCGTTCCTGTAACAACTATCGGGGGATAAGTCTACTTCCGATTGCGTCCAAGCTATTGGCTTCCGTTATACTTCGTAGGTTGTTCAAAACCCGAGAAGGATTGACTCGCAAGGAGCAGGCTGGGTTTCGTTCCGGTCGAGGATGTATTGATCATATCTTCATCCTCCGCCAAGTGTTAGAACACCACCATACTTATCAAAGGCGAACAATCGTAGTGTTTCTTGATATCAGGGCTGCCTTCGATTCGTTGGATAGGACTGTTCTTTGGGAGTGTCTATTGAAGAAGGGTGTGCCTGAGAAGTTTATTAACATCCTAAAAGCCCTATACACAAACACCTCAGGCAGAGTGAGGGCATACAACCACCTTTCTCCATTGTTCCATTCAAGCAGTGGGGTTAGGCAGGGTTGCCCAATCTCACCATTCCTCTTCAACTTCGCCATCGATGACATTCTAGAAATACCTCTGATGGATGTAAGTAATGGCGGTGTAGATCTGTTGTCTGGAGAAAGACTTCTCGACCTTGAGTATGCGGATGATATTGTCTTACTGTGCGATAATGCCCAAGCTATGCAATCCGCACTTAATCAGTTGGCAATCAATGTCCATAGGTATGGCATGTACTTTGCACCTTCGAAGTGCAAAGTACTTCTACAAGACTGGCAGGATTCTAATCCTGTACTCACTCTGGATGGCGAGCAGATAGAAGTAGTCGAGAAGTTCGTGTATCTAGGTTGCTGCATAAGTGCTGGTGGTGGCGTGAGTGATGAGATCAATGCACGTATAGTGAAAGCCAGAGCGACTTATGCCAATCTGGGCCATCTTTGGCGCCTTCGTGATGTTAGTCTGGCTGTAAAAGGTTGGATCTACAACGCTTCGGTGAGAGCAGTTTTGCTCTATGCTTATGAAACCTGGCCTCTCTGAGTTGAGGATGTTAGACGACTTTCTGTGTTCGATCATCGCTGTCTCCGAAGGATTGCTGACATTCAGTGGCAACACCATGTTAGTAATGCAGAGGTTCGGCATCGTGTGTTCGGGCACAGAGACGATAATGCAATTAGTGTCACCATCTTGAAACACCGACTTCGGTGGCTTGGACATGTTCTACGAATGTCGTCCCAGAGAATTCCTGGTTGTGCATTATTTGCCGACTCTGGGACTGGTTGGAAAAGGCGGAGAGGTGGTCAGTATATGACAAGGTGTCGTGGTATGAAAGAAAGCTGCAAAGGGCTGGTTTGTGTTGGTCCTTCACGACTCCCTGGCTGGGGTTCGAGAGATGGTGCAACACAGTGGCTAGAGACGTTATCAGATATGGCTCAGAATAGAAGCCAGTGGCGATCATGCTGTAACCTTCCTTTACTTTCTTCATAAAAGTGGTTGCTTCTTCCTTAACTGAAAGATTTCTTCTGATTGTACCTTTCCATTTCCCCCATTATTATTCTCTTTTTTTAATAATTCCCCACGTTCATTACTTTTTTTTTCTCCTTCTCTTCAAATTCTCATTGTTTTGTGTGACGCATATATATTTGGTGCCTCCTTGTACCAATATTTGTGTTCAAATAAATAAATAAAAATAAATGAATATGGTTTTCACAGTCTTGATAAAATCATGTAATTACAGTTGACATTTAATCTTTCAGTTAATGAAGAACAGTGTAAATGATTCAGAAAAAGCTTTTTAATGTAGAATGGAACTACTATAGTACTTTATAAAGTCATGGATTTCGTATGCATTTATTGGTTTTCAACTGGTAGTCTGTTTACTATCTTGAACATTATGAATATCTCATGAAATATAAAATATCCTGTACAGCTAATGATTATTAGTCCAACTAGCTAAACTGTATTATGTTGGAAATTTTAGCAAATCAAACCTAAAAATAGCTAAATATTTAATAAGTTCAGATTTGTATGAAATACATTCTAAAAAATGGTAACATGACCAGTTATTTCTCTGTTATTTGGCATCTTTAATGTTTGGGTTTATGTTAAGAAGCCGTCTATTCATTTTTGAATGTGGGACAGTTTCATAATGGTTTGCAACACTTGGCTTGTCATCTTTACATTGGTAGTTCAAACCTCGTCCCACCAACTGTGATTGTGGATTATCCAGATATTACAGTCAGCCCTAAAACGGTGTGTCTGAAAGACAAATATGCAAACTTGTACTTGATAAGTTAGTTGCATTAAAATGCTTGAATAATTGACATTTCGAAAATTTTTAAGCTGGAATACTTTGTGATCATGTATGTAAGAACAATTTTAAAATTAGAAGTAAAGGATAACTAATTTGAAATATTTAGTCGAGTTTATATTTGACCAACAGATGATTGAATAAAGTTTCTGTTGCTGTGAATTACAGGGCTTTTCGTGTCCTCCCTGATAATTTACCTGCCCTGTGCTAATATTGATATTGCAAATTACACCGATGTGTATTTTAATCCCTACTTCTTACGTTGTTTATGACTGACTGATCACTTGTAGCGGCATTACTACACCTTAGAATTCCACGGTGATCTATTCTTCTGAAATGAAACGGTGGCTTAGTGGTTAAGGTGGTCGACCTTCAGTCACTAGGTCTCTGGTTAAGATCCCGTTCCACCTACTTCGATCTTAGACAGCCAGGTAGTATCACTAGCACTCAGACTTAAAGTGTGACTCGAAGTCAAGTACATAAATTTGCACCTGGTGAGTTAATAATAATATTTCTGAATAGTTTATTCCGTATAAATCTCACTTGTGTAGCCTTATTTATTTTTCATCCGACTGTATATTTCGTCTACAATTTGAATGTTAATGTTTCCTATTTTCTATCCTGTGTACCAGCCCTTACATGCAGGAGGAAGTGTACGAGGTAGAGGAGCCTTTAAACTCATACGTATATTACTCGTAACTGAATCTGAAAGATTGAAAATCGCTCTGACCAAATATCCCAATTCATTGTTAACAACAAACAGTCCGTATTCATTTAACGATTGTTCAAACACCCCCCCGAATCACTTGACAAAGTGTAATACACCAACTACCGATGGTCGTACATGTAAACTGCTTCCAATGTTTATATCTCCATCTACATCAATCGTGAACAAATTATCACCATTTACCAGTGATCATATTTCTCCACAAATTCAAATGAATGATGAGAATAAATTTCCTCCAATGGTATGTTCTGGTTAAATTAAATGATGCATATGTATAGTTTTTTCGCCTGCTCGACTTCCGAATCTATACATAACATACTTGACACGATTTTACCATGTAATAAATACGATTCTACACCAGTAAGATTTATAGAATTCTCATGTGATTTGTTTAACCAGATATTTTTAAACAAAATATTTTTTGACATTACTGCTTAATATAAAAGCATCGTGAAGTTATTAATGTTTCTGTCTGTAACTTCTTAGCACCTAACGTCTCAAAGTACTGCATGCGATGTTTAATCACTTAGGGTAGAGACCATATTCCAATTTGATTGATGAAATTCGACCGGCACCCAAATGTTAGACAAATATAACATTAATTCAGTGGTCAATCATTTGTGAATATCTTAGTCTTACAGGAGGTTAGTTGTGACCCGAATAGCCTAGCGGTAGTATCTCAAACTGCAAAGTTAAGTGACACTTGTTTGAATCCTATGGAAACTAACAGTTCCCTCAAGGTTGCAGGTGCGCTTTACTAACGACTGTTAGCTGGCACGAAACCTAAGTTAAGTAGGGTTCTCTGTCGACTACCTCCAATCATCTAACACTGTTCGAATAAAGTATATATATATATATATATATATATATATATATATATATATATATGTTTGTGAGTCGAAATCCACTTGATTGCATTGTCTCATAGCTTATGAGAACAAGCTGAATGCTCTAACGATTACCTAATTCAACACATTCGTTTTTATCCTATTATGTCCCCTCGTAACTGACCTCATTTTCATTTTTACTAATCAATGACTGGTGCAGCAACCACTGTAATTTACGTAAAATATGTCCTAGTCAGAAAAACCAATGTTTTTAAATGGGTCTGCTTGTTGAAAAACTAACTCCATATTTACTGTCTATTTTAAGGATGATTTAAATGGTGTTACCAAATATGAACATTTCTGTAGAAACAACTGTCCTCAACATTCTCAGCTGAGATAGCTTAGATGTTTTATACATGATTACAAACTGCTCAATTGAAGCATCATCCAAGGACCAAATTGAAGTCTCTATAATTATTGATTAGCGAAAGTGAAAGGCGGAAAACGAATATCCGGTACATAAACCTCGTTAGCGGATACAAATAACCACCAAATAGAATTGCGAAACCCTAACTCCTAAATAAATGATATTCATGGACTCAAGGACTTAGCCTATACTAGTCTCAGGCTACCATGACACTATTGAATCACCATACATACAAACTTCCATAGCCATTTTAACAACTTTCTGTTGTATCAGAAATAAAACAGATTAGCATATGATGTTGTAGTGTTTCCATTGTACAGCGAGACATTTGGTCCTTGGTACCTTCATCTTTATATACAGCTTCATATTCTCAGTGGTCCATCATCGGTTCCCAACGCATTGATGATGTATAGCCCATAATTAGTATGCAACAATTTTTTCATCGTCTGCAGAATATCAATTATAACAAAAGGTTACTCCCTTTACTCTTCCTAATTTGTTTCTGTACATTGGTGAGGAAAGTTAGCTCTCTCGAAATGCTCTCATATGGCCACGTGCATATAACCACTGCCAGGGAAGTCCTACTCACTACCTTCTCTTGGCGGGGGTGTTTTTTTCACGAAGTTGAGAAGACGAAAAACGAATGTCCGGCGCTTTAACCGGGTTGGTGGACACAGAGTCCACCTGGATGAGTTGGAAAACCCTAACTCAAAACCAATGGTGCATATGGACTTCAGTATTCTGATTTTATTTATTTATTTAACACATAGATATTGGTACAAGGAGGCACCAAAAACATATGCGCCACATAGATCTCATTTGATATGTGTGAGGGCTGTGATACTGCCCGGGTGCCCAGAACGAAGCAGATGGTTTTCTTAGGGGGCCACACCCCGAGCCTTCGACCTGAATGTCTGACCCACAAGGCAGTGGAGCATCGTAAGGAGATGCAGTCCCATGGTAGCCGGTGACCAACGATTGGTTCATACGCCATTTGTTCCTTCAGGATACTGGAGCCAGCCCATGTGCACCATTGATTTGGGATCCGGTTAAAGCGCCGGAACAAGTGGCGTATGAACTAATCGTCGGTCATCGGCTACCATGGGACTGCATCTCCTAACGTTGCTCTGCTGCCTTGTGGATTAGACCTTTAGGTCAAAGGCTCCGGATGTGACTCCCTAAGAAAACCACCTGGGCACCCGAGCAGTATCCCAGTCCTCACACAAATCGAATGTGGCGCATATTTATTTGGTGTCTCCATGTACCAATGTTTATGTGTTTAAATAAATAATAAATACATTTGTTAACTACTGAAATTTTGATTGGAATACTCTTGGTGGTGTGAAGATTGATTATGTTTGTAATATGTATATACCATATTGTTTCAATATATAGGTGAAAATTGTCTCACGATAAGTTTTCTCATCAGTATCTAATTATTTACTACTTACTTTTATAGCCTAAACGAACTGTCATGTCTCATTATCAATCTAACCTAGAATGGGTTAGCGGTCATTGTTCTCCACTAGTTAGTTATGCTTACTCCATTAATGAAACCAGTTCATTACCATGTTGGCAAGTTGTCAATGAGGATTCACAATCCAATATATCATTCATTAAGTAAGTGTGTTAAATTATTACTAATATTTTTATCATTATGTTCATATTGTAAATACTAAATGTGTTCAAAATCAATCAGTTATAAGTAGCATAAAACCTGGCATCGGTTCAAGTTGCAACATCGCATCAGTACAACGAGATGAAATTAGCAAGGCAAGTAGCAGAGTAGACGTAATAATATCAGTGGTTGGATGAAGACTAGACATTCAGGAAATGATGCAAAAAACGTTTATGATGTAAAGGAAGACAAAAAGTTGATAACTCATTGTTTACGGTAACCGCGTGGACCTCAGCCAGATCATCTGCACCTATCAACACTGCTCAATCTAGCAGTCATTGACTTCATGAATTGATGTTTCGTCTTAGTTTAGTCTCCCTTAGTTTTCTTTCAACTTACTCCGAAATTAGGCGATAGTTAAGGATATATATTACATGTCCTAACCACTTCAGTTAATGAATTTTTACTACCTCACCAACCAATTTCTGTCTTTACCTAGTGTTCTGCGTTTCTCAGTTCTTACGATGTTTCAAGTCTTGGTTGCGTTTATGACTATGTACTTGCATTGCAAATAAAACAGCATCTCCTATTGGAAATATCAAGAAACAAGCGGTTCAAGCAATATATTTTTAGGATCAATCCACTGTTTCTTCAAGATATTTGCGTAATCTTATGTTTGTTTCCATTATTCCATTTAAGTTCGTTAGACATGAAAATAAAATATCCAAAGGGTATGCCTAACGTACTATAGTTGCTATAATTCAATTTTGATTAGTCGAGAAACAATGTTCATTATTTTCAACCTTATACAAACCCCATTGCATCATACCGATACAACATAAAACAGAGAGAGAAGGCAAAAATGTTCAACAATCCATGTTTAGTAGAGTTTTTAGCCTTTTCATAATATATCAATGATTTTCAAACACACATTGCTTCAATGTTTAATTCTGTAGTTGTAGAAAATTTCAATTCCACTTTCAAATCTTGTAAATTGTCGCAAATTCTGACTTGAACCTGCTCCTAATGTTTCGACATTAATCAGAAGAAAGATCTGTGATAGTTATTCATTTAGCCAATTTGAATTCTGTTATTTAAATCAGTTTTTTACTTTTTGAAGTAACTAAATAATGACAATACAACTTGCCAATGGTGTTCAACTGCTAGGTTTTGGTATTTCAGCAAGTTTCAGACTTTTAACATGGTTGTTGAATAAAGAATGTTGATTATTGAAAACATCTGTTGATCAAAAGACTTGACAAATCACATAGTATTTCCAAAACTCTGAAAAGCATATATTTACATCGATTACCGTATAGTTGCTCGGAACGACAGTTATTTAATTTGTGTGATCAAGTACTCACTCATTTCGGTAAATTTTGCAGCAAGAAATATTGTTATAAGTCACATCTCAAACACCTCGTAGAAGTGGAGAGCTTGATATTCATATTATTAAGTCCCTTAAAATTGTCAGCTGAGAACAAAATACTTATTTGTTTTTCATTTTTCAAAGTCCGTACGATTCGAACCTCTCAGCCAGCCTCACATTTCATCGTACACTTAAAGTTCTCTCTCTCTCTCTCTCTCTCTCTCTCTCTATATATATATATATATATATATATATATATATATATTCCATATTTATTGACTACTCGTGTCTTTGTGAGGTTGCGAATTGATTTTTCGGAATTATATTTCCTACTTTTTTATACCAATTTAGTGGCGGCTATTCCGAACATGGAACTCCAACTAAATTGTCTAGTCTGAAAAATAAACGGTCAAGAACTTTATTCACAGAAGAAAATGTCAAAATTAGTGGTAAGTATTTAGACAGTATTGTCCTATGTTCACTTGTCAACAAGCTTATCGGTACTTTCACGACCATCACTGCCACAACAACAACGAACCATCTTTCTATCCTTGTGTTTATGCTTAGCTATGTGAAATGAGTAAGAATGTGTAATTACTTAACTGGAATAAAGTGTACACTAACAATCGGTATATATATATATATATATATATATATCCCTCTGACATAGACAAAGACATATAGTGTTCCTTGCTACAATCTTTTACCTACCGACATGTGAGTACAGATACGTGATATGTCTAGCCTATCAGCCCTGCTCTTGAAAAGTATTTACCTGTTATATGGGTTGATTCAGGTGGGTGATATTTTTTTGTAGTCTATTTCGTCTTCTGATTCTCCTAAGAGTTGAATCTGGTTGATGCAAAACGAGCGTTTCCAGTGATATAGCTATTGTGATTCTGAAAGCTTTCTATAATATCTATAATACCTACATCTGCCTGTATACATAGATATTTTAGGTATAACATGAATGTTTGCAAATGTTAAATCAGGATTTATAATAAATACACAGGATACTTGACTACCAATATCATCATTTGAAGGAAATGCAACAAAACGTTTAAACTCAGTAACTATTGTTAAGTTGAATAGTACATTGGATTAGACCAAAAGAGGTATGTTTCATTTGAGATACTTGGTTGACCAAGCTTTTCTAGAGAGTTTGTACAATATACAAGGTGTAGTGAACAGTCGGAACTTCGTAATATGATCATCAGCATTTAAGAACATGTACGTACGATAGAAATTGAGTTAATTTTTAGGACTTGTTTGTTGTATCATCTGACTATGGATAGAATGTATTAAGTGTTTGGAAAGACTTGTGGAATATCTGTGCATGCTGTGTGTGCTTTTCGTCCTGTTCGTTACAAACACTTTAGTTTAAATCCCATTTAACAGAAGCTTGTGTCCAACCTATAAAGTACAGAAAGAGGTCTCTTATTGAGTACGGGAAGTTCCAAACACACAATTGATAACAAGAAATCTGTTTTCATCTGTGATTCAAAAGGGAGATTTCAGGTAGAATTGATAAAAATATAAAACCAGCTTTCCTATCATCCTAGTATTTTCAATATCGAACAGCTTCTTAAATCAGTCAAAAATTGGTCAATTCCCTTCTAAGGTCATATTTAAAGTTTACATGTACTTGCGGAAGCCAGTGTTTGGGAAGGACTATGATTAAAAGTGTGTCTACAAGGTTTTCCGAAAATATTCCGCTCAAGTTGTGCTTGAAAGAAAGTAGAATATTCACCAGTGCTATTATTAGACATTTAATGAATAGATGACAAAATGTGGTGATCATAAAGACTTAAAATAATTAACAACCCATGAACACTACTTTTACTCCTCTTTGCAGCGGCTACTGCCATCAAGCACTTTTGACCTGACATTTGTATACAGAAAGCTATTGTTGTAAACGTCTCATTACCGTGATAAGATGGTTATATTGTTTTAACATTCGTCAACTACATTATCTGTTTATTATACTTTTTGACTTAAAATAAGACTATTTCCACCGACATTCACAATGTTGATTTAAATTGTATGTCAACTAGGTGCCTTAATTACCATTTATTTGTTAACAATGTTTTTATTTATTATCTCTTTATCATCGTCTACAACTTCTTCCTCAATATGCGAAATCTTAATCAATCTTATCCGTTATGTTAAATTTATTGTCTGTTGTTTCTCATATGATTTCAAACTAAACTTCATTGATTAGGTACAGTATTAGACATTTTTAATAGTAATATTAATAATGTAAATTAAGGTTGTATGAGAAGCTAATAAGATGCCGTAAAATATAATGAATTTCGTGTTCTTCTTATCGCTTTATTTAAATAAATAATTCAGTAAATTGTTTTTAAAGTGTACTTCAGTAGGGAGTCTTTCTATTTTTTTTCCTAGCTGAGACTAGTTAAATTATAAATACACACTAACATGAATGTATCATATTCGTAATGTAACGTTTGAATATAACTTGACTTGTTTTTCAAATAGTGAATATATCTGTGTCATTTTTTTTCCAATATTTTAAATTCTATGTTTGTTTAACAAACAATTCATTGAATGAAATTCATCATGGATATACATACTTTTTTAATTCTTAGGTGTTAGTAATGTACGCACTGACTTACTTATTAAAAGAAGTAGTAAACGAGAATCACAAGAAGTGAATAGGTATGAAAGATCACAACAAACTATTAAGCATTCCAATCAAAGAAAGAGTCAATCGAAAAAGACTTCATCTGTTAACAACAGTAGACAACGACAACGTTCTTTACTGGAATTTTTTAAAATACAGTGATTAAGCTAAATGTATGTATGAAATATTTGTATTTTTTTAAAACAATTAATAGTAATTGTCAGGACTGATTACCCTAACCGTTTGACAGATTTGTGTTTGATAGTTATTTTTTTCTTTTTGGTACTTATCTCATGATATTTGTATTTTGTATACTTTGTGTTATCTTCACTCTAATCTTTTATAGCAACATTTATACGAGTATTTTACTGAACTTATTTTATTGTTTCCAAATGTTTTTGCAGAAATCTGAATGTCTTATTCTTCGTTCTTTTTTTATAAAAGACAATTGAAAAATTTACTGGTGATTTTGAAATGAATAGATAGTAAGGTGCTTTATGATATGAGAATTTAAACTGAACTAAATGAATTATGTGTTGAGTACTGAATAGAATAGGTTACATAAAATAATTTTGTTATTCAGTAAACATATTAAAGTAGGCAGTTTTATACAAAATGATAATACTGTTATCCCTATTGATTTTAAATTCATATCATTTAGTCTAGCCTGCGTTTCCAAATTTAAAATCCCCTTTTGGGGTTAAATAGCAATCAGTGGTTATTCTTCATAGTAAATATTCATATTTTCATGTTGTATAATACTTTTCTCAAAAGTTCAGTTTTATTTGTTTTCATAAATTACTGAGAACTAGCTGTTAGTAATTCTTGTTTTAATAATCCAATACAAATCATGCTTTTGCTAATTGGTACTATATAACGGGTCTATGTTATATTTGTTCCAACATTTTCGTTGTATCGTATTTACCTATGATTGATTATCACAAAATCGATCATTTGTAGAAAACGTGTAGATGCAGTATCATTAAGAATATGAGACGTTTTTTGTATGTTTTAGTACGTATTTTATTCGATCTGATAGAGTTTGATTTACGGCGTATATAAGAAAATGAACTGGCATAACACTTCAGAGGTTATTATCGAAAATTTGTTTTACTGTATACAATTGCAACGCGCCTTAGTTATTTTCACTAATATTTATCCAGATCTCATGTCACTACCAAACAACTGGAATTAAAATTTCTTTATTAGATAAACAAACGACCCGTGGAAGATTGAACAACCTGAATAATTAGAGCATACTTAACATAGAAAACTTGACTGCCTTATCAAAGAGAAACAACATAACACGTAAATGTCCCATTATCTAACAGACATCAAAAATCTAGATCGTAATCCAACGGTTATTGTCCCATAGCAGTTTATTTATTTGAAAAACGTAGCACAATCATAGTCCTACCCTATATGAACAGCAAAAACTAATGATAATCCAACCGATACGAATCGGCTTAATTAGTTGACTTAGTAAAACAAAAGTATATTGAAAAGACTTTATAATCGCATTTCATGTATAATTGTACAAAATCATCACATTAAATAGCTGGAATTCACAGAAAAACAATGATTTGTAAAATAAGGAATAAAATCATGATTTCAAATGTTTATACTTAAAGATAAAAACAGTAAGAAACTCATATTAGCAAAAATCAGATAATGGCATAAATTATGTTTATTTTGACTTGTTACTCATAAGTAATAGTTAAGCATGAATAGGATGTGACTGTAAACATGTGATTAATTCTTGTGGTTTTATTTCACTCTGACAAATACGATGAACAGCGACGAATAGTGGAAAATGTCCAGTACGACGTCTATCAGCTAAGATACAGTATATCTTGGGACAAAATAAGAACGATAATGATAACAACATTATGAAAAGTGTATTTCATTCAGGTTGCTTATTATAAAACGAGGTCTGTAAAATTTGGTTTAAAAAATCAATGGAAAAAATGTCTAAATAGTAAGTAATATGCATGAAAAAAAAACCAGAATTAGTTGTTACTGGGTACTGTACTGAAGTTCAATCGTGTCAGCTAGTATCCATTCCACTGAATAGTCGAATCATACGTTGGGAATTGACTGAGGTTTGAAAATTGCACTATCGGATATTGAGTCGGTAAGAAAATGCGATATACTTTATGTGTGGGATAGAATCCAGCCGGTATGCTTTCTATATTACCGATCTTTTATTTGACGTTTTGTAAAACCTTATTGCTCTTATTCCATCCAACCATTTGTATGGCTTTAATAGTTAGTTCAGACGACGTTACTAGTATTTTTTTTATCTACAACTTTGGTTCTGTGAGATTCGTACTTTTGTATGATACCGTAAATCCCTAACTAAAGCCATACTGGTTTCGATGTGCTTGGGTGAGTTGATTGACTTTCTGATTGATAATATTCCTTGTTTATCTGGAACACGTTTTTTCTTTGACAAATAATTTGATTTATGTCTCGCTTATATCAGTTTGTTATATTATAGATTCGATTTTACGAGTTCTTTGGCTGTATAATACAGTGCCGGTATTATTGAGATATTTTGTATATATTCTATTTTATATTTATGGTTACACGGTACTGTAAATACCAATAAACTACTGTCTTCTATAATTGGGTGTGATTGTATCAACATAACCATAGGTGCTGTATGGAAAAGGTATAAACTATTGGGTGGAATTCTGATTGTTATTACATATTCACCTTGAAATTTCAGGTCGCTATAAAGTTATCATATCTTTTAACAGAAATAAAGTTCATGATTTTGGCGTTATCAAAGATAAATTATTTTACTGACTAATTATCATTCTATTAACGATGAATAGAGTGGGAGATATATATTTGAAAAAAATATAAGTAACCAGAATGTTTAATCGTCGAAAATCTTCGATTCTGGTTAGTGTTCCAGTTAAATAATACTGGATTATTCACACACAATATTTTTTTAACTATTCAATCAGTCAAATGCTAATTAGAATCAGCCTATATGAAAAGATATATACTTCAGGTCTCTGCTGAGATAATATTTTTCAGCTTACTTCAGTGCGACAAAAAATAAACTTTTAAGTTCCATCATGTTTGATTGCAATACATACGCTTCTGGTTGGCTTGCTCATCCAGCCATGCGAATGGAATGCCTGGCTGAGAAGCTTGAATTTAGAAAATAAATAAGTAGGTAAATAAATCATTGAGGCGTATACATATATCCTTCTGATTCAGACATGGACATGTAGGCTAAGATCCTGACTAGGGGCATAATCAGCTTCCTCCAATAGATTGTCTATTTTCTAATTTTCCATCTACGGTTCGGTCTTCAGATGGCATGTGAGCATAGGCACGTAATATTCTTAGACCGACTCGACCAATTGACTTTAGTGTATAATTTACTCCTCATCACGTTAAAAATACCGATAAATAAATATTATTATACAGGTGGAATAATCTGAAGTATCTAAATGGACCACAATTAACTAAGTGATATTGTTCGCTGAGATGAAATCCTAGTCAACAAAGGTCGTTAAACTGCTCTGATATAATGAATGAAATCATTTGGGGAAACGAACATAATTGAGAAAAAACTGTCAAGAGTGTATATCCAAATCTTTTACTGTTTTCAACAAGTCAGAAGTGTGTATCAAAGTATGTATTATTGTGATAATCTAATTAGCTAATGTCCTTACAGTTGTTTTGTTTCAGAATATTTCCTGCTAGCTTGAAACAAATGCTAAGTCAAACAAATAAACTACCTGTTTTGCGTATTCAGCTCCGTCTACAAAAGTTCTGTATGGTATTTTATCAGTTATGGAACGAATTGATGGTCTATTGGTATCATTGTTAGATAATCGTCTTCCAATACTAATATTCAACAGATCTAGATCTCCTATATCGGAAATGTCGTCAAGTTTATGAGACATGCCTTGGACAAAATAGAAAAAACAATCATATTAAAAGTGGTTAAGATTAGATTTCTGCTACATTATTGGAGGGGATAAGTGGGGAACATGAAATTATACATATATATTTGTTAAGTAACTAAACTATGTATATTCATATTCTTCTGATTATAAGCTTTATTTTGACCTATAGACTTGTTATATCTAGAAGGTTGATTACTTGATATACCGCGTATAACTGAACACTAGAACGCAAAAACCCTTCCAAGTGGCAAGGAGAAAACGGAAGACTAGTGAAAGGAATATTATTCCTAACAGTGTCAATTATGGCACAAATTGTCAGGTATTTATAGTTTTTAGTAAGAACAAAAATCATCATTATAGTCCTCCAATCCGCATACAGGGGGTTATTAGCCTTGTCCAATAGGGAAGCTACACGTAAGAATCCTAGAATATTCTTCCTAAAGGTGATTGGATGGAATATCTTCGGCTCCTTCTGAGCCTCTTACAGCATTCTCGAGTTCACCCGTGGGCCGTCGTCACAGCTCCCCCCCTTTAAAGTCCGTTGTGTAAGACTTCTTTCTCGGATCCACCTGGAACTTGGTGGCCGCATTTCTCTTACGGTCCATCACTCTCGAGGGTTGTACAACTTCTCCCTTGCGTCGTTTGTCTCCTCTATGTTTGCGCTCATGATGGTTTTTCTGAGGTGAGCCCACGAGCAATTAAAATGGGAGCCGGCTTGCTGGGACCACTGTACTGCTGTCTTTTTGCATTTGATTTATGTGTCTTATGCATTTTCCGACACCTGGCTTCGAATGTGACTGGGAGTCCAGAAACTGCGTCTGTCAATATTTTGTGAACCTCAGCCTCGACATCTATGGCAGCTACAAGCACGTCCTCTTCTTGTTTTGCATGCGAATCAATTTTCCTTGAGAGGGCAAATGCCTGTCCGAAGTCGGTTGGTACTTTATCTTGAAATCATAACTCAGTAGCGTAGTTGCCCATCTCTGTAGACGGTTTGCTGTATATACAGGGATACCTTTTTTAGATCCAAAAACTGTCAGTAGCGGTTTATGGTCTGTTAGGTGAACTGTCTGCCAAACAGCATCTTGTGGAACATTTTTACAGCGAATATGATGTAGAGAGGTTCTCAATCTGACTGTAATTTCTTTCAGTCATAGTCAGCGATCTTGCAGCGTGCGAGATTGCCTTCTCAGACCCGTCAGGATAGGTATGTGAAATTACTGCTCCGATTCCATAACTTGACGCATCTGCCGCGACTATAATTGGGAGATCTGGGTCATAATGTGTAAGTAGAAGGTCTGATGATAGGAACTGCTTTAGTTTTAGGAATGCTTCCTGGCATTCGGTTGACCAGAACCATTTGGTATCCTTTTTTAGTAAGCAATTAAGAGGAGCAGGAAGGCGATGCAGATCTGGAAGAAAGACGCCATAATGACTAACCATTCCCAAGAAAGAACGTAAAGTTAATACATCCGTCAGTGGAGGCATGGATTTGATAGCTTCAACGTTTTCAGGATCAGGTTTTCTTCCGTTTTTATTGATTATGAATCCCAAATAACGGACTTGCTCCATGTAAAAATCAAATTTTTCAGCACGCAACCTGAACCCATAATCTGCTATGCGTCTGATCACCATGTCCACCTTATTCTCTAAGTCAGCATAGTCTTTACCCATGATCAGTATGTCATCGAGATAGGCCGCAGTACCAGGAATATCTTGTAACATAGTATCCATAACTTATTGGAAGATTGAAGGGGCAGTTTTTACTCCAAAAGGAAGTCTGTTATATCGGAACAATTCTTTATGAGTTTATTATCAGGTAATGCCTACATTCTTCCGCTACTGGAATCTGTAGATAAGCTTCTGACAGGTCTAATTTCGCAAAATACTTACCCCCATTCAGTTTCGCAAATAAATCTTCTGGTACCGGCAAAGGGTATTGATGGGCTTCAAGCGCTTCGTTTAATCCAGTCGAATAATCTGCGCGTAGCCTGATACTTCCGTTTGCTTTTTGACAATCACTATTCGTGCTGCCCAATCAGAAAAGTTCACGGGTTCTATTATTCCACTTCTTTTCGGACG